AGCTGTACTGATTTTGGCTAGCAGCACTGTTACTCGGTGCTTAAGAAGTGTAGGCATTGCTGTCTGGAGAGGTGGAGTTGTTACCGTTGTGCATTGAGCAGAGTTTGTGAGATGCTGGCACTGCTGTCAAGGAGAAGCAAAAGCCTCCAAGGGGGAATTTGGAGCAAGCTCTGCTGAATGAGGGGGAGCAGGTAGAAATAGGAAGGAAGGGGTGGCTGGGGCCTCAGCCTGAAGGGAGGCATTGAAGGAGAGAGTGCTGTGACATTTGTCACCCCGTGTTAAAGCTGAGCAGTCCTAGCCAATACCTGAGACCTGTTCACTTCATACCGGTACGACAGCTTTGTGCCACTCAAATACAAGTTGTATTGAGTACTCAGTGTACATTTGTCCAAAAATTCTCCAACGCTTTTTACCCTGCTCTAGGAGCAGCTGCTTCTTTCAGCGACGTTGGTCTTCGCTGTTACACTTTTCTCAGGTAAATATCCTGCTTCTACTGAGCCTGCCTGAAAGTTTCCAGGTTCTGAATCGACAGAAAACAGTAGCTACTGTTCTTAATTCACTGCTTAGCAAGCATCAAGTGCAGATGCTAATCTTGCAGATGAGTTTGTGGAGCCTGAGAACAAGCAAGTTCTGATGGCAGTAGTGAAAGAAGCTGGCTTTTAGTTGGTACTCTTGCAAATGTATGCAGGCCATTGTGCCTGAACTGCTGCATCTGATGCGTGGATCGGCTCAGCCTGGCTGCTGACTGCGCTTCCTGAGCCGGGTTGGCTTTTTGTGTAACAGCTACGTTCTGGGAAGCAGATGGAAGCCACTGAACTATTGAACTGTACTGGTCTGGGGTGATGTGTGTGCTCTTCAGGTCAATAAAGAACTGTGGAGTCAATACAGCCCCCTGAATTTGGTGTAAAGCACAGTTGTGCAGGCTGAAGGCCTTTTGGTGGTGTGTGACCTCCCTCGTGGTTGAGAGCTGTGGCGGCGGGCCTCTTGGCTGAGGCTGAGCTGATTCAACAGGCTGATGTCCTGTTAACGCTTGATCTTACTCTTGCATTTTTGAGATGACCCAATAAGCAAGGTTAGGTAGTCAAGTTTTAACACAACAGCTTTGATAAAACACACTTCTATAAATATACTTTCAAGAATATGCATTCTGGGCAATGGTAAACCCCAGCCAGCTTTCCCTATGGCGAGACGGCTCGAGTTGCCCAGCCTGCATCTCAGTTTGAAGCACTGAGAGCTGAGAGGCGCGGGGCTGGGGTGCCTGCTGCGTCTGTGTGCCTTGGCTCAGTGGGAGGAATTGGTTTTTAAGAGCTTGCTAAGGGCACAAGCAGGGTGATGTACAGCTCATGGCCCTGGTAGCCTGCAGGGCAGAGTGTAACTGGGGATAAGCTGCTGTTCTGTGCTAGTCAGCTGCTAATGTTTTGGCTGAAAACACTGGTGAAAGTGAGAAACACTTGCAGTTAATGTGCTGTACCTGCATACTGTTCACCAGCATAAGGAAGAAGAAGTAAACACGTCCACATCTGTTGCTTTTATTTGTTCTATGAGCATTCTGTGCACCCCATGCAGCAGGCCTGCTGCTTGTCTGGCATTGCCTGTTGGCTGGAGGAGAGACTGGGGAATGGTTCTGAACTCCGGCGATGGGTGAAAACATAGGAAGCTTAGACTGTGCTCATTCTGCCTTGGGTTAAGTTGCTGAAGTTCAGGAAGAGAAGGATAAACTCTGTAATGTCTAAGCTAGCTGAAGAGCTGGAAAAGTCTGGAGAGCTTTTCAATCTAAGAGCTCTGTGTACTTGACTTTTGGCAGGGCTACCTGGTGCGGCAGGCATCGAGTTGTTTGAATTGTGCATCTAATGAAGCACTCCATTAATTATATTCCTCTGGAGAAAACCTTGAGCTTAGAAAACATCAGGTAGAAATTTTGGTATATGTCTGAGGTGCTTATTTGGGCTTACTTCTTCCCTGGGGAGAAGTTAGGAAACTAATTGACTTCCTAAGCAGGAAGAGCATTCAGTGTCTGGTGCAGCAAGGCAGAGAAATTAAATGTCCTCACTGGAGGCATTGCAACTCTTCTCACCCTGTTAGTGATGGCTGTAAGTAGGCTTCCTGGCCCTGGGACGCTTCTGAGGTTTGATGAGATTCAGTCTAATGCAGGGACTGAGCCTTTGCCCCACGTGTCCTGGATATTGAAGAAGAATTGTGTCGTCCTCCTGACCTGTGCTGGATCTGTACACAACTTCACTTTGAAGGGACGTTAATCTTGATGTTTAATGGCATCTTCTGCTCTGCCTTTCCCCTCTCCAACAGTTCAGTGTGTGCTGCGAGTTCCTTTCCTAAAAGTGGGTGGCACAATCTCTGCAGAGCAGTGCAGCCTCATCTCCTTCTAAGCCTTAGCATCGTTTGCATTGATCCGTAGTACCCATCTTGGTTCCCTAATAGGCATCAAGTGGAAAAGATAATATATTTCTGTTGCACTTGAACTCATTTCTCAGTTGGTTCTTTAGGACCAGTTCTGATATCTGGAAGAGAAGACACTGCTCATCTTAAAGGATGTGGGAAGAACCTGACCTTTCTGCTCCCCTCCACCATGCCTCGAGTCACAGGGCATGCAGAGAAGAGAGAGTGCTGGAAGAGCTGCTCAGTGGATTTGGCTGTTCAGGACATGCTGAGCTCCGGAGGTTGCTGAAGATAATTGCAGAAAGTGGAGTGGAATTCCTTCTACTTTGATGGTAGTTGGAGTGTAAAGGAGACCTCAATTCTTCCAGCAACTAACAACGCTTCTAATGCTCTTCAGTAGTTGAGCCCCAAATCTCCTCTAATGCAATTCTCTCTTCAGTGCTGAAGCCCCAGCTGTTAGGTGCTCGGTGATCTGTCAATTCTTGATTTGGTTTGAGGTGCTGTTTTGCCAATTGGTTCTGGTGCATTCTGATTTGCTGGGAACACCTGTTCCTTAATTATCATCATCCTTCCTCTGTCTCCTGTTTCAGCTCCTTCTGATGTGCGAGCTAATAACATGATCTGGAAGGAGGCTTGGAGCAGTGTGTGCATGTTGAGAGGTGGAGTTTGGGACAAATTCATCACAAACTTGAGAGTAATTTCTGGTTTCCATCTGCTTTGGTTTGCTCTCGGTCCTTAAGCTGCATCTCTGTAGGCTGAAGTTTGTCCTTGTGTACTACCCTGAGACCAACTGTGGCAGTCTGTAGGAGAGGATGGAAGGAATGGCAAGTTTGAGTTCCTGCTTAGGAGAGAAAGGAACAAGAGGAGGAAGCAGCATGGAAGGCTTGTAACTGACTGACGTGCCTTTGAAATGTCACGGTAGTTCAGGCTGTTCTGGCTCCTCTCGTCAGGCGTGCCTATAATGCTGTATTGTGTGTGATTTCAGCACTTGCTCCTTGGAGCCTGAATTATTTCACTAATCAGAATTCTGTATGTGTTTTGTCTCTGTTTTTCTGCTTGCAAAAAAAAAAACAACCAAAACCAAGTGTCAATGATGGCCCCGGGTCAGAATGTCTTGACCGAGCAGTGAGTGAGACCTGCGGGCTCTTTCCTTTGCTCCCCTTCCTGGATTGACTTGAGTCATCTGAGAATACTTGTGATGTGAGGAGTTTCCAATTTGCCTTGCAGATGTTCTCAGACAGTCTCAAGAGAAGTTTCCTGGGGTCATGCTAGCCTTAAAATAGCCTGGTTTCTGTTCTGCTGCTGACGCTGTTGGGGTCGACAGAGACCTGGGGCTCTGCAGCCTGCCCTTTCGAGTCGCAGCTCTTCCCTGCTGGTGACACCTTTTGTTGGGAACTGCTGTAAGAAGTCATGAAAAAGAATTGTGTGTAAATATTAAAGTTGAGCGTTTGTCTTTGGAATCCCTTTCAAATGCTGATCGAAACTGCACAGCTGTGCACTGTGGCCTTCTAGATACTGCTTACCCACTGCTTTGGACCTGCTGTGTATTGCTAGCTCACAGCTGTGGCAGCTGGTAGTCCAATCCACGGCTTGCAGGTAGGCATCTCTGTTGCAGCACCCATCTTGTCTCTTGTCTGCACGTAGCTTCTCTTAGTTCACGTTCAGACCTCAGTCTGAACTGAACTAAGGTCTGTCATTTCCTGCAGTAAAGCTTTTTCTCCCCTTTTTACCCTGGGTGAGGTGGGCTCTGGATGCTGCATGGAGTGTTGCTCCTCCAGGTGTGGGCTGACGGCGTGAATGTGTTGTGTGCTGCAGGACAGTGCTGAACAAAGCTTGTGCAGGATATCAGTCTCGATGTTTCCAGTTCTAATGGATGGTTTTTACAACCCTGCTGGAAGAGGTGCAGCAGATGGGTTGCTGTGCTGCTCCCCAGTTAAGCTTGCTGAGACTCGCTGAACTCTCAGCAGACATCCAAGGGCAGTGAAGAGACTCCTATCAGTATGCTGAATTTCATTGGATGAAGTTCTTACGACTATCTGGTTTTTTTCCTCTTTGCTTTGCACAGGCTTTCAGCATCCAAGTCAACAGCTTAACTGTTAAGCTGTAAGCTTCCTGCTGTAAGGCACGCAACAATGTAGGGAAAACCTTTTTATTCCATTGTTGTTCAGCCTCAGACACCTCAAAGCTAGCTGTCTATGTTAATGCAAGCAGTCTGGTCACAGCTGTTGCTATCCAGACCTAAACTGAGCGTGTGCCTGGACAGAGAGGCCACCATTCAATATTTATGTTCCATAAAACTGCATTGAGAGCTTATACTGAAATGTGTCAGTAAAGACATGCTGTAGCAATGATAGCAGGCAGCTGAGTGCCAAGAGAATCCCATGCTCTGCTCCTGCCTCAGGCATGTTCTCTGATACCAAGCAGTTTGCTTGACCCCTTGTATTGCAGCCAACCTAGCTGTAAAATTAAGCGACAAAGAAAGCTCCGTGACAGACGGACGTGTCTGGAGGTGAACTTTCAAGGCAAGCTTCGCTTTACTGATAAATTCATCTTACTAATACAGTGTTTGTTTTTTAACCAGTGCATGTTTTCTGTTGTCCTTCCAGGCAGCATTCACTCTTCTCTTGGGTCCTTTTACCTTCTTCAATGTGCAGAAGACCAAGTATCTTCAGATCGTGACGTCTCTGATGAGATGGATAGGTGAGTCTTGGCAGGCCCCCACCTCTTCTCTGTAGGTGGAACCTGAGTCATGCTACTGATGCATCTTTTTGGCAGGATGCGCCTGTTTGGAAGCAAGCGCCTGTCAAAACAAGGTCTTTGAGGAAGGCTGCCCAGACTCGATATCCCCAGTGAAACAAAGGAATTTTGTTCTAGGATGAAAGCTCTGATTGAAACAAAATATCCTCAATCAGATGCAATCTGGTACATGAAGTTTTAACTTGGCTTAAGTGAGAGGTAGAGGGGATTTGGAAGAGTCTCCTGTGTCTGGGCTAATATGGTACCCACTAGTTACAGTTCCAGCAATGGAGCGTGCAAGAGATTTTAAACAACCATAGTTCTGGTCTGACAATTAAAAGTACTTCTGTAAGAATTTCTGACCTTTCATCATGTTTGCTTGTCTAAAAACTGCTAAACCAACATATGTTGTCCTTGGGAAGCCCCACTCTCACTAGCTCTCCAAAATCTTGCAGCCAAGCACTTCTGAGTAGGCAGAATTCCCTGAAGGGAAATAAGACATCAGTGTTGGCAGTGTTGTTACCATCCGGAGATCCAGCTGCCTTACCTCTGGTTTCTATGTGTGCACGGCTTTGTCTTGGTCTGCATAACCTACAGGTAACTGGTATTCAGGGCTGACAGCTTTACAGCACCAGTCGCCTTTTGGGAGGGTGGAAGTCTGCTGATTCGTGGGCCCAGACCACCTGAGCACACGATGTGCTGCTTGTACCCATCGCTGGCCTGGCTTAGGAAGGAGAGTCGGTTCCAAGGCTGTTTCCCACCACACACACATTTGACCTGACTTCAGCCCGGGGATCATATTCCTCTTCCCTGAGTTCAAAGGCCTGTAATCCTGTTTGGAAATGGCTGGCAGTCACTGCAGCGGCACAGAGAGCCTGTTCCAGAGAATATCTGAGGTGGGGTTAAGCAGTCATCACCCAGCAAGATGAGGTTGGGTCTCAGGCCCTCAAGTCTCAGATGCTGAACAGCTTGAGGTAACAAATGCTGACCTCGCGTGGTGTGAAAATCCCGAATGTCCATTTTTTCCCCCATTACTGTCTGAGCACATGGAAGGTTTGAAAGCCCCTATGTCCTTCAGAGGGAGGGGTTATCTCATTAAGGGGCTATTAAAGGAAGTTTTGTAAAAAGAGTCATCTCTTCAGCATGCTGGTCTGCTTCCAGTCACTCAGTTGCCTCTTTCCCGGTACAGCCATCAGTCAGACCTCATCCTGTCCCTGTGACAACCTGATGCCTGTCTGCTCTGCCACTGCCTTCCCTCCAGTAGGAGGACTGCTAAACCTTGGCATAAATGCAGAGCTGCCTCTTTTCTATTGCTTGATGGAGAGGGACAAAGGCAATGTTTGGAGAAGTGTAGGAGAAATTCATGCTTTAGCCTGATTGATTCCTGCGTCAGTATGCTGGCGAACAGCTGCCCCAGATAATGATATTTAATGACCCTGACAGCACCTCAGTGGCTACTTAGAGCAACGGATTCCGTATGTGTACAATGAGGGATGGATTTATTAGGAAAGACAATTTATCAAGCAGTCATGTGATGCAGGGAACAGAAAAGCTCTTGTTGCAGACTCTGGGATGAGTCCCATGCTGCTTAGATTTATCAGGCTTGCTTCTCCTGTGTCCTCACATCACCTGCTGCATCACCTCCTCCTCCTCCAGAAGCTGGGCTGAGACTTAAGCATGGATTGGTCTTTAGTTGGCTCTTGGTGAGCTCAGGTCCTAAAGAAAGGCCTGAGCCTTTCCGGTGCTTTGTGGTCTCTTGAGCTCGTCCTGCCTGAATGCTGATGGGCCAGATGGAGATTCCAGTTCAGGCATAACCGTGCCTTCTCTTTGACTTCCTCTGGTGGTGTTCAGCCACGTGATGCTAAAGGCACTTCCTCAGCAAAGCACTGAGCGCTTGTGCTGGACGCTGGAGCTGCAGGCCAGCAGTTTGTTTTGCTGGGTAAAAGCTGCTCTATGGACGGTGCCTGCTGTGCACCCTTTTTCCCAGCCCGGCGAAAAGCCCTTGGATTTCACAGCAGCAGCAGCTGATGTAAGGCTGCACTGCCTCAGGTGTGCGGCGATGAAGATGACAGTGGCTGAGAGGATCGTTCTTGGCAGCAGGGAGGGCTTGCTGTGCGTGAAGGTCATTTCTGCTAGCGTTTGCAACGGTGTCAGCGCTGCCTTTGAAAGTCGCTTTCCTTCTCTCCCCTGATCTCAGTGATAATCAAATGTCACCAGCCTCTTTCCAGAGCCTTGTGCTCATCGCAGGCAGCACGTCAGCCAACAGCCTGCAGCAGTCTCTCGCTACACCTCTTGGACAGGAAAAATTTCACTCTGAAAAAATTTGGTCGTAAACACTGGAGCCTGAGCTGGAAAGAAAAATAGGCCAGTTTGAGGAACGTGGAGATGCAGCAGGGATCAGCCCTACATCTGGCAGTTTCTCATCCCGGGATAAGCACTAGCCAGGACAGGCACCTCTGAAGCCTCTACGAGGAGAAGGTTGAAGGAGGAGCTTGCAAGCCCAAGTGCTCTACCACTAGAGAGCCAAGCAGATGGGCTCCTGTTGTCTGGGCCTGTTGAACGCAGCTCATCTGGAAACAAGGCTGGCACTGCAAGGTTTTTCCTGTCAGGACTGATAGGAGCACAGAGGGTGGATCTGCTTCCCCAGCTGGGCCAGGGCAGGCAGAGGGCTTCCAGAGGTGTGGAGCTGCTGGCGATCTTCAGAAGAGTAACAGCTCAATCACTGGCTCCAAAACCAGCTACGGCCTCATGTAAGGTGGTTTAGTGTGGTACTTGGAACTTGAACTGCTGACCTTAGTGGTTCTTAAAGGTCTTGCTTTTCCTTGGACTTGGCTGATTGCTTACGCCAAGCTCTTGTCACGTTTCCAACAGTAAAAGCTTTTGCTGGTCCTTTCCTTCTGCCTGAGCTGCCTTCGGAGAGACCTCAGCAATTGGAGCACAGGTGTAGAAGGAACCAGCCTGCTCTGCATGAAGGGCTGGTCAGGAAAATCACTGCTTTAAATTCTGGTAATGATGCTTAAGGTGAAGCTTGGGTCTTAGCTGGGGACAAAACTTTGTTGGCTCACTCAGTTCTTGAGCAACATCACCAAGAGCCCGCAGAGGGCCAGGGCTGTGACCAGGTGAGTGTGTCAGCAGTGTGAATTGTCTCCTTGCAGTGGGGAAGATTCCTTCCCCAAACTGTAACTTCCTCCTTTTCAGGTTCCTTCCGCCTTTCAACCTTGGGAAAGGGTGGAGTTGGTAGCCCCAGCCCCTTTGTTGGCTGTGGAGCCTGTTCCCAGGTCTCTTGGTACAGCGGTCAAGGCTGACCCAACCAAGCTGCCAGGAAATTACAGCCGTTGTTATTTTCAACTTTACTGGTTAGAATTCAGGCTTTTTTCCTTCCTGAGGGTTTAAATCTGTGGTGGTGATGAACTGCTCCCTCCAGAGACTTGATATCCTGCTATTTTTTTCTCTGTCTTCCCATCAATCCTGGTCTAGTAGGCAGTGTTTGCTGTTTGCTTCAGGAGTTCACCCCTCAGTGAATGGAGCTGGACGTAGCGAGCTCCGGGGGTCCCAAAGCAGCGGGGCACAGCCCCACGTCTTTGTTACTGGGCATTGACTGCCTAGCAGCATCAAAGGAAGGCACATGGATTAAGAAAGATACCACGAGGGGACATGGCTTGGTGGAGCTCAGCAGCAAACACTGGGCTATTGTGCATGAAGCAGCTAACCTGATTAATTGCAGCCTGTTAGAGTGAGATGCCCAGCTCTCTAGGTGGGGACTGTTGGCTGTAAAGACATTGGTGGTGTGATTATTGCTGCTGTTGTTGAATGGTCTGCGGCAGATGTTCCCAGACTGTTCCCATGTAGGACATTTGCTCTATGTACTGCTCTTGGTGCTGTACTGTAGATATTAAAAAGTATTGTATTTTAATAAAGAGACATTTTATAGGGGATTAAACTGGGTTTGGTTGCTGCGGGCTCAGTGCTCTCTCCCTGCAGTACAGTTGGACCTGGTCACATTTGTTGTAGGACCTGCAGCCCTCAAGACAGATCACTCTCATCGCTGTCCAAGCAAAGATCTCAGCTTTGTCCAGGAATTAAATTTCCTCCCCAGGCTGTTTTTTCTGGCTGGTAAGGTGGAGGGAAAAAGTACAAGATTAGCCATGAGGCACGCAGTAAGTGTTTTCTTCCCTCCCCTCCAGGGTATTTGATAGAAGTCTCTCGGGGAGGAAATTAGGAAAGAGCTCTCCAAGGCATTCTGGTGAGGCTGCCTTCCCTGTCTGATCACTTCTTGGATGCCTCTTCTTTCTCCACCAGAATCCTGTGCTTTAGAGGACTCCTCAGCACTTCTCTGCAGAGCACTGGTCTCAGACCATTACTCTGTGAGCAGCTCTCAGCTGTACTGTCACTGCCATCCTTAGCAGACTTAACCAGCCGTGCACAGGTTGATTCAGTACAGAAACCTGCAGTCCCTCTGCTACGTGCCTTCAGCTGCAGCACTGGGGACTGGGGATTATTGCAGCGGCTGGTGCAGGATGGGGGTGGCAGTTACCTGAAGTCTTGCTTGCAGTCTCCTGCAGGGAGATTATCCTGCCAGTGGCCGCAGCCTTCAGGGTGGCCTCTGCATCCAAAATGGAGCTTTCTGTGCAGATGAGTGGGGGGCCATTATATCTCTGCCCCTTTCGCAGAACGAAGCGTACAGGAGTGTCAAGGAAGAGGGAATTGAGCTGTAAATCAGGACACTGTTGCACGTTCAGCTGGCTTAGGGGTTGTGATATGAAGTAACTTTGAAGAAACTTGTTCTCGTATCCTTTTTGGAACAGAGAACGCTGCTGCCAGAGCCCAAGGTAAATAATTTACCAAGAAGTGAATATATTTATGAAGAGTTAGTTAAAAGGCAGTGCTCCTGTCATGCTTGCTCTTGGTCTTGTCAGTTGAGGAGCTCATTTCAGTGGTGTTTATGGGGGGCAGTGGGGTGAAGC